TGGTTGGATGGGGCGTGGGAGTCCCAGGGGTCTGTCTGGGGGTGGGGTGTGGATAAGGGTTGGGGCAGTCAGGGGACAAGAGGCAGGGAGGCGTTAGATAGGGGGTGGAGTCCTGGGGGGCAGTCAGGGGCAGGGGTCCCAGGAGGGGGCAGTCAGGGGACAAGGAACGGGGGGAGGGTTGGGGGTTCTGGGGGGGGGGAAGTGGGAGGGGCAGGGGCGGGGCTCCTCCCGTCCTCTTTTTTGCTTGCTGAAATATGGTAACCCTATTTTGTAGCAATAAATGGAATTCTGCCGTTTCAGACAAGGCAGAGAGAAGGAACTTCAAATTAGGTAGCTGATGAGTACTTGCAGGTAGAGGATCAAAGATTCAGTACCTCTGAAGTCCCAGTTGCTCAGAAGAAGCCTACCAAAAGAGCATTCCAACTTACACGGAAAGAACTCACTGTCTGGTCCAAAAAGGCCAATGTGGCTCTTTTGACATGCATCACACAAAAAATGTTTGACTACCTTATATTTATGTTAGAGTGAGAGATCTTTTCTCTGTGTTCTACCTAGGTTGGTGAGTCCTGCTAGCTTCTCACACACACGTCAAGCCCAGTAAAGGCCCTTCTCCATAAATTCAACCTCAGAAGTCTGTCTTAGTACATCTTGCATTGCTATTTCTTGGTAGGGTTATGATTTCAGTGTTTTTAACCATGAGTGTCAAAAGAATGTTGGCTTGGGCTTTATGGCATCCACACAGAGTACTAGACCTATTTTTACAAGGTATTATTGCTTGAAGTCCGCCTCATTGAACCTGTTGAAAGCAGGCAATAAAGATTATTGTATTGCCTTTTGATCAAGATATATTTTACTTTGTTTTTGTTTTTTTCACTCTGTTACAGTATATTTATATTCTTCCTACATTGTTGCAAGTTCTGTATTTTTACAAACACAGCCTTGGAGTGTTAGAGACTCAGAGTAGGGATCTATTATGTATCTTTGGAGAAAAGATAGTTTCCTATCCTTAGTTTTCTAAAAGTGTGTGCATAAGTATATTTTAAAGATTAAAAGACTGTAAACAAAGATTAATGATAAATGACAATAGATTGAATTGGGGAAGGTGTCTATTGGGATGCCCACAAAGGCTGGTGTTAACATTTTTAGCGGTCTTGAAGAATCAGTAAACATGTTTTTGTTTATTAATTTAACGAAATTGGGAAACAAGTCAGGGCAGAAGAATGTTGTAATAGAAAGGGACTTAGAAAGATTAAAAACATGCAGTTAATAACTTGGGGGAAGGGAATAGTGAGAGACACAAGTCAATACATCTGGGGAAAACTTAAATTCTTATTTTTGGGTTAAACAGATGGGAGAAACCTAAGTTGTTTGGAAGTGACAGAGCGGCAATATCAAGGTGATAGTGACAGAGGGGTGACAGCAAATTAGACATGAGTGTACATAGCTGCCAAAACCCCAAAATCAATTTTGGCTACATATAGAAAGACATGATATCGTGGAGCAGGGAGGTAGGTAATAGTTCTTATCTATATGGCACTTGTGTGACTGTGGTTGAAATACTGGGTTTCTTTCTGGGTACAAGACCCGAAAGGTATCGACAAACTGGAAGGAATTCAGAAAGGATCATCAGAAACTATCGGGGATTGGAGGGAGTGAAGTATGAGGCAACATTGAAAGGGCTTGATACATATTTAAATTAAGCTACTTGGAGGGAGAGGAAGACAATGTGCTGTACTGAAAAGGTTACAGTAGGCTTACTTGCAGATTATATACATTTGAGGTGCAGAGAAGAGCCCATGGTGGAGGGCAACTCCATGACTGGACTTGAATGAAAGGGAGATAGATAGCTGAGGATATTTCCATTGTCAAGTAGAAAGTTTGTTTTGGTGACTTCTAATTGAACAGAGTTAAACTGGAAAACCCAGTTTTTGTTCAAGAAAGATGGAGAAGCAGTTAAGGAGTTAGTGAAATATTTACATTATATTCATTTATAGGCCTTTCAATGGCACTCCTCTGTAATCTGAGTACCCCAGAGGCATTTAATGCATAATCAACACCTATGTGAGGTGGAGAGATCTTACTATCTCCATTTTGCAGATGAAGAACTGAAGCACAGAGATTCAGTGGTTTGTCCAAGGAACTCAGAACTCCTGAGTTCCAGTCTAGTGTTTCAACCATGAGACCTTTGTATCTCTCTAATGGAGAGGCAGAGTTTGGTGTAATTTACATAAGAAAAGGTCATTGATATTGTAAAATAATTTGTCCAAACAAAAAAAGACAAAATGTGTTTGTATCCTATAACCGTTCTGTGGCTAAATCCTGTAGTAGAGTGGCTGTTGCCACCATAGACAAAAATAATGGACAGAATGTGGAAGAGAGAAAATAAACCAGGTCCTTCCACAGGCTTTTTGAAAGCTGCAAGCAGCAGGGGCACATGGTGTTTGTTCATTTTAACTGGAATGTTAATGACCCAGTGAAGTCTTGTGAAGTACTCATACCACTATATTATCATAAATGTTGGTAATAATAATAACTGCTTCATTAACAGCTATAATAATATATTCTCTCCCATCATATGGAAAGTGTAGCCAAGCCAGTGGAAAACACTGCAGGTTTACTGACATTCTGTAAGACCCACCACATTGCTACCACCATTTTAGATTCCTCTTGAAAAGAAAGAGCCCCGCTGCAGACATTTCACACCTTCAAATTGTTTTCAATTAAAATATCTTGTTTAAATATGAGGTTCATTGTCAAAGGGAGAAACACATTTAATGGTTTTAAATAGTCATAAAGATTTCTTTCTGAGAAAGATTGCAGCCATTATTTCAGATTCAGTCATCTTTGAAGTATGAGTCACATGGTACATGATCTTGTGAGTTTGTCACTTGATAACATGACAGAACTGTAAGCAGAATTCCCTAAACAAATCATTGGTTTTAGAGTCATTTTTAAGTTCATGATCCTAGTATATTGACTGGCAGGAATTCTTATAGTATTAGAATTGAGGGACAGCTCTTCTCTTTCCTCACTTCTACCAGTTTATTAGCCTGTAGTACCTCTGTCAGTTCTTTCAGGACTGACAGCAAAGGAGTGCCTGACTGCTGCTGCTCCTAAATCAGCCACAGCTTTTGGCTGGCATCTTAGCATTTCCTGTGGGGTATTTTTTTTTTCAGACTTCTATTAATCTGCCTTAGATTCTGTCATCAAAATAAGTAAAAATGAAAGTCATTTTATTCTGCATGAAATAGATCAGATGATACTGCCTCAAGGTATTTTTAACTTTTTGATTATTAACAAAGACACTGTTTTCCTTTGTCCTCCCTCCTGGTTTCTTTTGAGAGGAATAATCAAAATCTTTAAAGCTCTTTGCCCATAGATCATGTGGACTTGTTTATGTCTACTGCAAATACCTTA